ACGTGATATAAATAAGAATCTCACAGTGGTAGTATAAGTCACATTATATCGTCCAAATATGCTTTCCTGGAATCGATCGTTTCTGCTCTCACAGCTTTTGTTACGGAATGGATCGAGTCTTTTAATCATCACCTACAAAAAAAAAAACCACAGCTGCAGAATTCTACCATATATCGGCCAATAATTGCTCAGTACCTATGAGATAACTGGAAGTGACTACCTTTTCACTGAAATATGTTCTAACCTAAGTTTTACTTCGTTGTGGATTTCATTGTTTTTTATTCGCATTTTTGTTTAGGTTTGGTAACAGTTGAAAGGATTTTGACCGCTTTATGGCAACGTTAGAATTAATTTCCTTCATCCATGGGAAAGGTAGAAAAGTTATACAAATGAATTCATCGTCATTGGGTTCTAACACCACATAGAATTTATTGATTTACCCTTGGGAATTAATACTACACTTCTCACCGCGATTTGCCTTTGAAAGCACTTCTATCCTCACTGACATACACGCTCTTGACTGAGATGTTGCGAAAAAGACATTGTAGTTCAGTATCTTACCTTACGAAGCTGAATGGCTGTAGAATATCCAGGAGACGCACTTATTCCTTGTTCATAAGGAAAAGGCATCTCTCCCTGTCCTCCAATGGAAACTCGGACGCCAGACTCTTGGGAAAGTTGACTTATATACTGATCTTGTTCAATGTCTATCTCCAGGGTCAAACCTGACAGAGAATACACATAATGTAAATCATTTCTTCGGCACTAATCCTCCTCCCACTGTTCGTCATCTTCTTTTATCAAAGAAATGAATTTACTATGAAAAGACTTTAAATTTAGATGAGGCAAAGTTCTATGTATGCATCGAGTGCAAGTAAATGAGGTATACTTCGGTACTGACCTATGCCGGTCTGTGCTGATGTCATTAGAGGTGTATATGTCCCATTCTTGTCCATTCCTTTGTTGAAGGAATAACAATTTCCATAACGTGTGTGCCAGAACTGTGTCCAGTATTTGCGCATGTCTGCATGTTTGTCCCTTAAACCAGAAACACATGTAACGAAAATTGTACCATCAAGGTTTCCGGCATAACTCGTTATGAGCCAGCTTTACCAATTCGAGGACTGGACTACAATTGTGAGATTAACAACTACTGGGTATTCGACACGGTTTTCAAGGGGACATAAACATTAGTAATGGTATATTTTGCATTAATTATTTAGAGCATAAAGGGGGTAAGTTTTCAAAGAAACTGTGGTGTTGCGTCGGTGGGAGATTATAACAGGTAATTCAGTGTTAACAACTGAGTCGAAAACGTGAATTGGCCACCGAAAAGAGTAGAAAGACTGACGTTTTGAGGGTTAGCCCTTCATCAATCTCTGTGAAGATCTGGCATAATTTGGCACTCGTTGAAATCACCCGTGAATCAGATTTAGAACCGTCACCAAAAATGTGCTGGGAGGCCGATATTTTGGACATTGATCACCATTCATAGTGGTAAGAGGCCCTCATTCAACTTACAGACATTCACGTCCATGAAACTTGCAGCTGAGTATCATGTCTTCTATTTGATGGCCATACTTCATAAGCTTCTCTTCCGGTCTATCAGCCAACTTTTGCAGAACACTTTGAATGATTTTCTCTTCCTCCGGAAGTTCAGAATAGTTAGGCACCGTATTTCCTTCACTGGAATCAAAGGATGTCTTGTTTATAGCTGATGAAGAATTTTTTTTGATGATTCCTTTAACAAAATGATGTACAAACATTTGTATTTAGTATGGAGATAAAAATCATATCTACCTCACACGGCCTTTATGTGAAACGATATGCATTATGTTTAATTAATTAATAGAAACTCACGCTCAGGATGTAACGCTGAAAACCATGGTAATAAGCTACTGTCAATTATAGTACGAGAGACGAAAAAGACAAGTGGCCAGGTTAAGCTAAATTAAAAAAGATCTATGGCATTATTTTAACATTGAGCTGAGCCTTACGTCCGTCCAATATCTGAGGAAACTCTGTCACAATATCCACTGGAATATGTGATCGACGAATCATGTTTAAATTGCAAATGGTGACTTGGGGAAACGTGAGTTTCTAGAGAAGAAAAATTTCAGCGCATACGGTCAGTACTAATCTTATCAAATCTAAAAAGTGTCCAATGTTAGTGACGTATTGGTATTGGCTTTTAATAAATATGAAGAAGAAAAAAAAAAACTAAACGACAACAATAACAAGTAGGGGCCCAAACTAATTCTAAGGCCTCTCTCTTGTTTGGTTGTCCATGCTAAGAGGTCTGAAAGGGGTTGGCGAGAGACTGCATATTTGGCGAGTGCCTCTAGGTTACGTAACAGCTCAAAATAGCGTTTCACATTACAGGGAGAGCTTATGGGCTGAAGTAATGATATTTCCATTATGGTGGCTAGTTATGATTTTTTGTGGTACGACTACGGATGTACAAAAAAAAATACAGTTGATGTTTATGAGATAAGACGTAAATGGATGAAGAACTCAGTTTACAAAACAGATTCTTTGTCTACATGAAAATAAAAATCACTTTGTTTATGAATAAACATGACATGTTTTTACCTCCTCGTGTCCAATGCTTGCTCTAACTTTTAGAGGCCTTGACATGTATTGTTTTGTTATACCACAGAGCTGCTGAAAAAAAGCTGCGACTGCGGCTGCACAAACCAAAATCCAGAACCACCTTAAAGGTTGGGAATCTGCGTTAGCCACTCGTCCATAGCCGTGTGCGGTTGTGTCACCGAAACACGCCAGCAGCTTTGCTTTTAACTTGAAAAGTAAACCATTTTTTTGACTCGGTTTGCTCGGAAGTGAGGACATTTCTGTTGTTTGGTTTTTATATCATCTCATCTAGTTCTATATCTCTAAAGATGAGAAATATCAATCTGGAACTATAAATAAATAAATAAATAAATAAATAAACAACCTGAGCAGGTTTAATTTACAATGGAAAATTTTGTGACTTATTGGAAAATGTAATGTTTTAATGTCATTATTCACAGACAAAATTACGGGTTGAGTGGTAGAAAGAAATTAAACTTTTCCTATTAGCATAACAAATTAATTTAACAGGGACACACCGCATGACTTTTTTCCTCTCTTTCTCGGTGTACATAAGGTAGAGTGTTTAACAAGAGAAAAAACTGGATTTTTAAAGGGGATACTTGTTATGGTGTGCGCTGATTGTGGCGATCTCCTTCCCTCAGAAACGTTCAACTGACTGAAAAACGTTATGAGTTTTCTAATATTTCATCTAGACTTATTATTGGCTGTTCCTGTCGATCGGAAGGATCAGTTTACCGCAGTTCTATCTTTATCTGGGATTAGCCTTATATCATACCCATTAAGCTTTCGTGTAATGAATTAGATATGATACCAAGCAATTCAGGGTTGCTATTGCATTTGGAGATAACATTTATGCACTATTCAGTTAAGATTCTCGAAAAGATTGATATCTCTTAAGCAAATATCGAGTTCTAGCTCAACGAAACTCCGGCATCTTGAGTGCTCTCAACATTCACCACATTCATATTTTAAAAGCTCGATACACGCAAGCTATGGGCATAAACAGGAGTCCATTACTTAATGGACTCCCGTCATAAAGCCAGGTATTCTTACACATAAGAATAATTTGTTGCAAAAAGCACTTTTCTATGTCGGCAAATACAAAGCATTACATTACATCGCACGGCAAAAAAGATTGACTCGAGAAAAATATGCTTTTCTAGTCTCAGTCTTAGGATGGTAAGCTTAGCAAGTGGATTGCGTGTAATTTGCGATTATTGGCTGGGTTTGAACTAACTAACCATGGAACTTAATTGAAGATGCGCGTCTATCGCTGTAGATACTTCAGACCAGTAACTCTTTCCCATGATTAAATTCTTATCGAGAATCACTTAAAAAATGGATTACTGCTAGGAAATAGTTGTAAATAATTTTGTTTCACAAAGCCATGAGTAGCTTTCAAGGTTTAACCAGAACATTCCTTATACATGTAATGAGGTTGAAAGAGAGAAATTTCATTATAAGGAGAGCGATATATGAGAGTTCCATAGTGATCCTTATGAAATGCAGTTCAGGCAATCAACCATAAAAGTTTTCAACCGCGAATTCACTGTAATTGGTTACCCGCTTAACAAAAAGCATTTTTTGAATTATTTAAATGGATTAGTGATCAGTTTCTAACATAAGAATTACGTTCATAACTTACTGAAGTTGCGCTGTTTTGCAGCGACGCATTTACTTTTCCTTCATTCTCAGAGGTGGAAAATAGATAACACGCCAGTCTGCCAAAGAAAATTCTAGCAGCGTACGTGCAGCTGCTTTTTTGTACTTGTTTTGAGAAGTACTTGGAAATATCCCGGAGTTACTGTATATCAACTTGAACTTTACAAGTCAACGAGTTGGGGAAACCCAAACAATAATTTAAAAGATGGAAAACGCTAAAATATAGAAAAATGGCAGAGTAGAACCTAACTCGTTGTGGATATATCAGCAATTTTTAACGATGAAGTCAGTTATTCTGCAACGTCAGGTACAAACATTCACTTAAGTTTTCTCATTCGTTAATGCAGTTGATCATAAAGCTGTACATACGTACCACAATATTTTCTTAATTTTTTTTTAGAAGATGTGAGTTATCTTAAAATTTCATAAAATCGTTCTTAATAACTGTGAGCAATGTCTAAAAATTACCTGTTTAATAAGTGCTGGGCAGCAATTTTGAATTAAAGATACGTTAAAAAAATGCCCGTATAAGACGAATCTGTACGTTTGGATTACAACACAACTTCAGTACTTATCGCTTTTTATTCTAATGAATCCTTCCGGCAGTTTAGAAAAAATAGAAGTTTGAGCAAGTTTTTTTGTTTATCTGCGGCAGAAGCTATCAATAAACGACATAATCGATTTCATTTTCGCTTGGTTAAATCATGAAGTAAATCAGTAATCTAAAAGAGTTTTCATTAATCAGAAATAATTGTAAAAATGTTCTTCAAACTTACCGTTGCTAATATTCTGTTTCCTCCAAAATCAATTTAAGTGGAAAGTTGACGAGACGGGAGGGATGCAAATTAATAATTTACATCTGAAAATTTTCTTGTAAAATGTACTTGCGTGGATTATTTTTGTTATGGCTGTATTCAGAGATTCATAATCACTTTTGAGTCATGCTGCGCTCAAAAATAGACACACAGATAGTTTTGGGTTCTCAAGTCTTATTTATTGATTGAACTGTAACTTACAATGTTAATTAAAAATTTTTTTTTATTCCGTTGAAGTTCGAATATATCAAGCTATGGTCGTCAAATATCAGGAAATTTCGGGGTTGATATTTTACTGAAGTACGTCACATGAGCTATTCTATGATTGTTTTGTACTTTCTTGTTTGTAGCTTATATCGACATCCCGTGGAGAACCCATATTTATTACTGGGGACAATTCGCGAAGAAATTTTATAATTCCAACGATCCACTCTGCTTAAGTTTTAAAATATTTAGGCAAGATGTCATGAAAGCAAAAAAAAAAACAAACAAACAAAAAAAAAGACAAAAGAAAAAAAAGAAGCTTAGTTACCATGAAACAGAGACATATAACCAACAATAACATGGTGCCTTATTTGTACAGATTTCGTCTCAATGTATATATATTTTAGTGTGAATTTTCTGCATTAAATTTGATTTCCTATGCGGAATTATCATTCGGCTGCACGTCAATCACATCAGTCCGTTTCTGTTTGACTTTTCTCAGGATCATAGAACACAGGGAAGCCATCAGCTCTAGAGCTTCCACACACGTCAGAGCGGAGATTCCAATCCACATTCCCATAATGCCTCCGATATCTGACAGGAATCTGGCTGACTGTTGAAGACAGCAATTTAAAACGAATAAAGTTTGGCCTTCCAAGGTATTTACCAGAAAATTATATACATGGATTAAAAAAAAGCGGCTTCATCATCTCCACGTTGTCATTTAATCAAGATCATCGATTTTATCTCATCAGTTTCTGATTATATGCACATGAAAACGCACTGGCAGTATTTTTCATATATGCGAAGTGGAACACGCCCCAATCATCTCCATTTTTTCAAAAATTTTTGATTTGTGAGCTAACCAGAACAAAGTTGACTTTTTCTGTCTTTTACAAGGACAACAAAGATTTGAGTTACAGTTCCTCTGTCTATTTCAAGTTGTTAACCCTCGATGCGAGTGCTTAGTTTAAAATCAAACGTCCTGAATAAATAAAAACACAAAGTTTTTTCTGTTGTATACTCACTGTGTAAGCAAGCTCTTCTGCAATTACTTCATAGTTTAGTTCTCCGTAATAAATTTTCAACCTCAAGAAATTGTCACTGATAAAGAGAGATTATTGGAAAGATACCATGAGAGCAAATCTACGGTCACGTTTTATGGTGGAAGTAGCTCATTTTATTACTGCCTAAACTTTCCCCAGTCTTCCAGAGAGTAAGAATAATGCTTCCCCACCCCTCCCCCTCCTTGGTTGGAATGTCAGTTCATCTGGGGTTATCCTTAGCATTTGCAAGGGTTTCTCTGGCAGTTTGCAGGTACGCATTTACACTCCTGGATAGAGAAGGGCACTCAGGGTCAAGAGCTTCGCATCTGAATACACCATAATGACACACCTATGGCATGGTTCTTCTGACGGCCAGGCCTCCACGACCCTCACTGGCGGTCATTTTAAAGGACAGAAAAATTTTGCTGATGATCAATTTTCTCTCTAAAAGATTTGCTGGTTACCTAAAAGTTTTACAAACTTAACCATACCTTAGGTCAGTGGAATAATTCTTAAGATCTTTCTCGTCTAGTGACCTCACAAGTATATTCTAAATATATTTTGTAAAAAACAGAAAAAATACATTATTGAATGTCTATTCTCGATAACATGGTGGCATGTGTTGCCATGTTCCACCATGTTTGGTTAAGTGTAAGTCTCTGTAATTATCATGTAAATTTACTCGATATTGGAACAGAAGCCCTTCGTTGCATCAATCATTGTGTGGAAACTCCTGTCTGCTCATATAATTTTAACTTGGCTCTTTAATAAGCGTTATGTGTAATACCTCAAAATGCCGAGAAGGCCATTTTGAAAGAGATAATGTCGTCTTAAAGAGGTCTTCCCTTGAAAAAATAAAATAGAGGTTATCATATAAGAGATGAAAAAGAAGCTGGCGTGACCAAAGAAGAAAAGCTAAAATACATCAAAGATGATGATCGATAGAAAAATTTACTGAGTGGCTGAACCATTGCTCAACCTGGGAGACTGGGGCTTGGTTTCAATGATGTTTGCCTCTCGACTATTTGTCAAATTAGCGAAAACTGAACGACACTTCCATGAATCGATCAACACTTTTTTAAACAGAGTCTGAAAAAAGAAGAAATGAACAGAAAATAGGAGTTCATGGTAACGAACTTTACGCTGGTCTTGAGTAAACTGTTTACTGTATAAACTGTGAGATGGACGAACTTTAGAGAGAATAATTGCATGGCGTGAATAAAATGTTCTTTACTGAGCGGTTTGTTTGCCACGTTTAGCCATGATAACAATCTATTTTGGGTTTGCTTACCAGCATTTTTCTTGACAACCTTTCTCACATGCTCCTTGGTGGTATTTATCAAATGCAGAGTTAACACAAGCAACTGAAATTTAAAAAAGGATCATGGTTGTCATAGTTTGGCTCAAACCAGCAGTGCGAACTCTAGCTAGTGGTAGGGTGGCTCACCGAATGCAATTCAGTGTGTGGTAAAAATTTCCAAAACTCCTTCATTACGCTGGTTAAAATATCAATCAACTCATTCTCGATATTTATCCAAAGCGTTGGTTTATTACTCTACCTGCATCCTTATTTGAGCCATCGCAAACATTCGTGTGATGTTCTGAATATTTTAGTGCATACATTACACAACCACACATGTTGTACATCATCACAGCCAAACATGAGAACTTGCAGGTCTGCAAAAATGATAATTTTCATAAGATCTGATTGTCTATCAAATTATAGCGTACAAAACAGATGTTAAACGGTCATTTGCCATTTAATCTTTTGGAAAATTTTAACAAATCGCTCTATGAAATGTAAATCAATTTCTGTATACAATCGTATTGGTCCTTTGGTTACCTGCGACAGACAAAAGATCTATACTAGAAAATGATGAATAAGTAAAGATAAACGTAGAGAAATTTCTTTCTTAATTGGAATTGGGTAGGTTATTAAAATTAGTTACTCACCAAATCGCCGTATGAGACGTTAAAGCGACGAAATATGTTATCGTTATTGATATCTTTTCCCGGTTTACAACTTTGATTGTGAAAGGGATCCAATCTCCCGACCACTACCTGCAACCAATTTACGTTTGCCACTGAAAAAGCTGTCTTAATGTGTGCTTAGTTGAGATTGTTATGAAATAGATGATGCCATCCGCGTCAGTGGATATCAGTAGTTTAAAGTTTAACCCTCAGTAAAATTGAAAAATGGCAAAATGTTAGATTTAGATATATCAACTCTGAACGAGTTTGTCACCTAATTATGCATCTATTTGGTCATCTCTGTCCATTTATCTTCTCATCTGTTTTTCTGTCTGTGTAACCCTTGGTGCACCTCAATAGACACAAAAACTGAACTATAATTCAATAGATAAGTAGATTTTGGTTGTGTTAAAGAAATTTTAAGCACCTTTCTAAGCTGAATGGCTGTAGCATAACCAGGTGGTGCACTGTGGCCCAGTTCGTGAGGAAAAGGCATGTCGTTCTGTGAAGCAACGAATATTCGAACACCAGCTTCTTGAGATAACAAGTCTATATATTCATACTGCTCAATGTTGATATCTAACGTGAGACCTGCAATCAATCAATCAATCAATCAACCAATCGATTAATTAATTAATTTCATGACGTAGAATGAGGTTGCTCCTACATCAGCCGAGCCAGAGGCTCTTGTAGAAAACGAATGAAACATGGGAACTGACGGAGAGTTAAAAGTCAATTCCACCAGGCGTGTTTGGTTTGGATATCGAATATGGTATATCGAATATTTAGATATATTTGGATTATTTTATCAACTACTTACCACCTTCATGACCAGGAAGAGATGACGTCATTACTTCCGTTCTTTCATTGTGCTCGTTCGTGCCTCGGTTAAATGTATAACAGTTACCATACTTGTGATGCCAAAATTGGATCCATAAATGCTGTTTGTTAAAACTAAAACAGTAATTATCATAGTTTTATATCAAAACTTTTGCAATGAAGAGTATCTCAACGTCATATCTAAGTATTTTCGGGTGAAAGTCGTTCTGTTTATAACAGTGAAAACTGACATGACTTCTGTTTAGAGTGGCACGAGAATGAGAGATCAAGAATGACTTTAAAATAGCTTTTTCTCTGCTTTGTCTCGCTGTTCCTTATATCATTGAGGTTTCTTAAAACCTATACGCTGTCAAATACTCGTAAAAACTTGTCAAGTATTTGAATTTCGCCAACGGGACTTCAAGAGAGATCCTCAACGAGATTGATTGACAATCCCGAAAAGTACCTGATGATTCTCTTGGTCTAAACGAAACGCCGCGTTATATCGGTCTCGAACTATCTTAACATCAACATAAATGTCCCAGTGATGGAGAATAAGCTACCGAGAGACCAGCTAAGAAAGGGCTGTTACCAGTCTGCGAAATAGGTATAGCTAACCTAAAAAGTAAATGGCAGCCTACCTTGGCCTCTGGTTACTTACAGGCATTCCATAGCATTGAACCAGCAGGCGAGTATCATGTCTTCCAGCTGATGTCCTAACTGTTCCAGCTCGGCCTCTGGATACTCTGCCAGTCGTTGGTGAGTCTTTTCCACCACTTGTACAAAAAGTGGAAGATCACCTAGATTCATTACCGCTGGAAAATCATTTTGATCGGGTTGTGATGGTGTGGCAGTAATGTTGCGTGTTTCAGCTAGATTTCAAAATATATAGAATTGTATCATTATCATTATCACATCACATGTGCTACAAATGAGAAATAAAATGGAATTTTCTTACTTTCTCCAATGTCAAAATTGAGAATTTCTGGAAATTCGTCAATAATTTGCTGCGGTAGTTTTGACTTCCGGATCTTATTGAGGTTGCAGATAGTAACTTGAGGAAATTCCAATTTCTATAAAAACGTAGAAAGGTCAATAAATCATCACCTAACGAAATATTGTTTATTCTATAACTTCTAATATAAAAAAGGCTCTAGTCTTTCCATTTATGACCACTTCCCGCTAGTGAGTCAGCTATTTCATTTTAGGCAACAGCTGTATTGTTTTTATTAAATTCTACCACTGGGAATTTTGATAATTTGATGGCACGTTACACCGTACTCGTATGTCCATCATTATTGTTATCAATGTGGATTAATGTGGTAAGGTGTAAGGTTTTCCGTGTTCAATCTTAATTCTCATTTTGAAATCATTTCCATAGACCTCCTGTATTTTGCAAGCTTCGAAGCTTGCAAAATACAGGAGTACAATAATACAATACAAAATACTCCTGTTTCCACTTCGAAGTGGAAACAGGAGTCAAAACCAAAGAATGCACCCTGATGCTAAATCAACTTTCTATTTAGTTTTTTTGTCTGAACTGGCCCAGGAGTTCAAGGTCGGTACATGTCTTGGTTCTGTGCCAAACGCGTGTTCAAAGGAAAAATAGCAACCACACAAACCAAGGTTTTTGTTAAGAACAATATGCTACAGGGACTATGACTCGTTCATTTGCTTGTGTAAAAAATTTTGGACACCTGTCAACATTCGGTGGTCTGCTGGATCATTGCATATGATATATAATTCCAGTGTTTTTCTAATTCGGAGGCTTTTAGAGTATATCGGAATCATTATACGAGAGGTTCAAAACTAGAAATAAGAAATAGATATATCAACGCGCATTTCGAGCGAGGATTTCAACGCCGGTTAAAGAAAAGTTTGTCACTCAGCTCACCTGTTCATGTGCGATGCTTGCCCTCGTTTTTAATGGTTTGGACAAATACTGAGATGCTAAGTCCATGAGCTGATAAGTAAACACGCCGTATGCGGCGGCACAAGCCAACAACCAGAACCATTTTCTCAATCGTGATTCACCAATGGCTGTGGCGACTCGTCCATATCCATGGGCAGTGGTGTAGCTAAAGCAGGCCAATATTCTGCTCTTAACTTTAGCTGTATTTCCCCCGTTCGAAGAATTCAACTTGTCCATTGGTAACAAAACGTTGTTCCTTTTTCGCACAAATATGAATAACAGTGATCACAAAATTCAGTATTCGTAGTATTCGCAAATTGAAAACTTGATTTTGAGAAAAACTGACGGATCATGAGCGGTACAATGTCTAACTTAAGGTAGGTGTAAGCTGTGGCCTAGAATTATGTTAGACGTGGTAAATAATAGATGTGGTGAGGGAATACTGAAACGTTACTGCACATCACTGGGCTGGCAAAAAAGCCAATGGAAACTGGCCAAACCACTCATCTCTCTTGGAAAACGACTTATGAGTGGACACGATGCGCCACAAGAAAAAAATTTTTGTTCGTTCGTTATATCTCCTGATTCTATCTTTGTCTTTGAGTAACATTTTATATAACATGTCAGTTCTACTACAATTTTATTATTAATCGTCAAGGAAATGAAAGAATAATTTCTGCCTCCACTGAGAACATTTTCCTCCAGATAGTGAAATCATACAGAAAAAATCTCTCTTGTATTTTATTCCTTTTGAGAAACTTTCTGTGAAGAATTATATGGCGTCGATAAGGATTGTGACGTCACAGTCACCGCCGTTTTTTTTTTTTAATTTATATTCACCCAAATTGCCGTCGAGCTGGAGAGCTCAGTCTTTCATGTATTCAGAATTCAGCTGAAAGTCTTTCGTCCGGTACACACTATAGCTGATGAAATAAGATGAAGTTAAAAGAAAACTGGTGAGACTCTTAACACCGTAAAGAGTTTAAAAACTGACGTTTCGAGCATTAGCCTTCAGTCGGCTCTTAGTCCTTAGCTCCTACAAAGGATTAACACTAGCTACTTCATCTTTTAAACTCTTCGCGGTGGCCAATTTAAATTACCAAACTTAGTTGACAAACCAAATTATCCCATGAAAAATATTTTTGCGTGGTACGTATGACGTATGTCTATCTAGGTAAATATGTTACATAACTCTATAGTCGTGTTATCAGTTCCCATGTAACTGTCAATGTAGAAAGCAAGACGTTTAAGCTAGAAACAAGTAAAACCAAAATTGCATCTTTCCTTAAAAAAAAATAGCTTTCATTTTATAACGTATCGATGGTTGACTCCAGCAATGATTTTAGCAATTACCACGAATAGTTAGGTGATTCTCCCGTACAATATTTTATCAATTTGTTTTCGAGGCAAGTTTCCAGCAAGCTATTTCCAATTTTTTTCGAAGCACCATGGCTACCGACTATTTTTTATCGTCTTTCCCATGCCAAGTATTTGTTTCCCAACGAGTTTGCATGGTGCTAGTTTTGACTTTTGCTTAAATTGCGATAACGATTTGTAATTGGATTTGACAAAAATTAATTTAGAGTTATCACTAGAATTTCGGTAATTAACCAACCAATCCAAAGTGAAATGAGGCATCCATATGTAGAATCACGGCATAACTTGGCTTTGCGATTCGACTACATGCATCCTTTAAAACCATTTTTACGAAATAGTGTTTTGAAAATCTGCTCTAAACACAAATGAAAGATATTTCTATGTTGTGCGATAGCGAAACTAAAGTCAAGAAAAACAAATACAAAAAATAAACATATTAACGGTGGAAAATAAGTAAAAATTCATGAATCTTCAGTAACTTTGTTTGAAAATCTAATTTACTTTTGTTATTTTAGCAGGCATGAAAAATGAATCCGACCTTACCTAGAACACTTGCAAATGTTCGTTAGTTTCCATGATGATAGCGACAAATAAAGACCCGAAGAAAATTCACACAAAAATAAAGAGCCGGTTGTATCAATAAATTATTAAATGTAAGGTAGTATCACATGCATTTTAACAATACCAGCGTTTAGGTTGATAATTGTATTTTGGACCCATGCAGTGAGAAATTAATTGAAAAGCCATATGCTGACAAAAACCTAACCACGGTAGATACTATTAAATAGGCGCAAGAAAAAGAGAGCCCTAAATCGTCCAGTATGAGGCGGAGTACAGAAGTGCCATACTGTGCAACGGTGTTGATTATTTAGTCGGAAACGTTATTTATGCAGCAATTCTAAAAATGAACGTTTAAAGTAAGCCCGTTTCATCCAAATTACGGTGTCCAAATATCTCAAATAATAACGTTTCTTTGACTTGAGCTTCCCCGATCAATGCAAGCCTTTACTTAAGTTTGACATGGCTGCTAAATGGAAAACTGATGACAACTGGCCCGATCCCAGTGAGATATCGCTGGTCATTGTGTAGGACAATCAAAAGCATTTATTCACTGATACCAAATTATGGAACGTGTTTTCCGTGGTTTTCAAGTTGTACACATTTATGACAGAAAGGAACCGGTAAGGAAAATAATCAACAAAAGTTAGTTTTATGTTTATGACAGCTTTTTAAATCTGTAAATGGTCAACTGGTTGTAGCATTCTGATTATAATACACTGTACGCTGTAAGTAAATTCGTAAGCGCAATACAGGAAAAGTACATCTGAATTGAGGTTTCTTCTCTCAAGTGCTATAATGAAAAACAAAACAAAACAAAACAAAAAACGTGTTTTCTTTATTCGCTATTCTTTTCTTACTTCGATTTCCTTCTTCTTGTCATCTACTGGAGATCGCACAGGACGAAATCTCACGTTTCCGTATTTCTTAAATGTGACGGAAACTTAGAGCTTCATGTTTCCGCTACATTTACGTTTTGTTGTAAGTAACACTCGTCGTTCAGTTGACTATTTCTTTTATTCTCTCTTTTGTTACGCAAGTTAATACAACGGGGACTAACTCTGGTCTCTCTAGGAGGGGGGCAT